GTCCGCGCCATAAACACTCGTGCAGCCAAGAACTTCGTCTCATTTCGAGAAGCCACAGGATACGAGAACAGCTCAAGAACCCGGCTCTCTAAATTCGCACTTTGTCAATCATTATGAAGGCTCTCAGCTTCGGGTGATTTTCTTCACATCTCGGCGAGAAAAATGTTCGCACGTGCTGTGTGTTGAGTGGGTTCCGGTTGCTCAGATTACGGTCCACAATGCATTGACGTTGACTGACATGGCGCTGGGAGGAGCCGGAGTGGTGCCAAGCGTGTCTGGAGCCTAACCCAGATACATTTATAGACTGCGTGCTACGGATCTTCAAGTCCGTATGCAGTTCATAAGCGGGAATGTATCTGCGCAATGCTTTTGCACTATTGCAAAGTCGCCTGCTCTCCAAAGCATCTTAGGTTGATGGCAGAGCCGTAGTTTCACAAAATTCCCGTGGGGGGGAGAGGTGGGGCAAGAGGGGGAGCAGAGGGGGTGGGGGGGGGGGGGGGTGTGGGGCGGGGAGGGGACTGAACAGCGAAACATGACTCAACCTACAATTAAAATGACCCAAGCTGCCAAAAAACAGGCTGCTTCCCAGATTTGACCGACTGTCCTCCCAAAGATGGGGGGGGGGGGGGGCTGGGTCCCCAACTAAATAAGAAACTACACCCCCGGTTAATGGTCCTGTACTGTAAGCAGTGATTGTTGGTCTGACGATAACTGAAGTTGGCAGACATCAAACAACTGGCATTGCATATGTGAGTAGACAAATTATTCGAGATGTCAGTCGCCTGCGCGTTTTTTCTGAAATTAGGCGTTCTGTGTTCGACTGTAGTAGTGTCAAGCGGAGGCACATTTGTTTTTACTTCATGTACCATTTGCAATGATCTCACCAGCCTGATGTTTCATTCAAACATTTTGTGTGTGTATGCTTGTTTGCAAGTAGGTGATATTAATGTGAGTAAAGCAGATGCAGCACTTAACACGCGCTCAGGTGGGGTCTAGTCGAACCTCCCGATAGTTGTTTATATACCTTGTAAGATTGCTGACCTATGCCATAGGTGTTAGCGAGGGCAATGCGTTCGGAATCATTCAATGCGGTGCGACAATGTAGGGTTGATGAAGGCGTACAGCTTCAACATGGCTTATTAAACGATCAGCTTATTGAAAATAGGATGACGACAAAGTCAACTGACCTTGGGTTAGGTATGGGGTTCAAGCCAAAGTCAAAACCAAACCACTTGGTTACTAAAAAACCGCTGTCTTTGATAGCTTTTGACGCTCGTTTCGAAATCTTGAATCAAAACGGCCTTAAAATTTTATGTTGACTTCATGAGAGGCAGGTGAGGTTACTTACTTGAATTGATCCCGGTAAATATTTTGCTTTAAAGGGTATGCCTCTCAAAGCATTACTTAACGCCGATTGTGAGTTATGGAAATTGATATTCTACAGTCTTATTTAACCCGAATGTCACAATCTAGGAACCTCAAAGTATAAGATAAATGAGATTATAAAAAAGCCCCACCTATCCTGTCAATTTCTTGCATTTGATTGTCTTACATTTCGAAATATCCAGGGGAAAGTCGACCCCCACCGGAACGCAGCGCTCATGTAATCGACCTCCTGGGCTCGTGTTAAAAAGTGGGGTCCTGCTACGTATGCGTCACCATCAAGCAACATTAGAACAACCAGGTCGCGTTTGTCGATCATAATATCACTGAATGACGAAAAGAATGTATTTAAAACACTACTGAGTTTCCAGCCCATATTCTTAAATTGTGAGATTCGCGGAAAATGTCCCACCTTGGCGCCTATTTACCAATCAGCAAAGCACAAAAGGTGTGCAAAAATGTGATCGTAGTTATTCTGCCATTTTATTTTGTTAGGCAGTGGAAGAAATAGACAAGTAAATCTGATCAATAAAAAAATGAAATGCATTACACCAGCCTAACCAGTCCTCTAGCATTGAATGAAGTGACGTCACACCTCTCTTGCTTTGGTAGATGTGCGGCTACAATTGCATTGTATTGTTGGTGGTGCATATGTGACGCATGATCTTTTTCGTTAGCAAACAGGAAAGCATTAGCATATTAATTATTTCTTCTTCAAATGCTGACTGGAATATAGCTAACTGTGACGCGAGGTCGTCTTCGGGTTTTACTGCTCATGTCAAGCTTGAAATAACCTCAGAATAAATGTTATCAGGCTCATGCGAAATAATCGTTATGAAACTTAAGATGGGCACAATTTTGCACATTTATCAGTAAAATACAGTCTTGCTAAATCTGCTCAAACCACGATGCGGATGTGCAGTTTGCTGCAAGGACAGCAAAAGTCGTAATCCTATTTTTGCGCTGTACCCACTGCTACGCATAGGATCATAAGGCTATTTCAAAATTGGTGGGAAAACAACAAAAAGAAAATGACAATAATTTTTTTTTTAACATGGGAGAATTCAAACATGGGAACCAGCCGCATGACCAAATTCAGAAGCTCTCAGATTTATAGGAAAAAGTTCGATCACCCTAACATCTTTACATTATCAACTTTAATTTATAGCCTAAAAATCAAACACAAAATTTATTTCGGCGTTCACTACTCGGTCACTGGCAACACCACACGTAAAACTTAACAAGAGTCTGAAAAGTTTCAAGTAGTCATTTTCATAAAGTATCAAGCCGAATCAAGCAAGTTTCCAGCTGAGCCACCGGGTACGCTGGGTGGGCAGACATATCTTTCCGCTCGCCCCGAAATTCTTAGGTCTTTCGAAAGCCATGATATATGCCTAACGTACGTGACTGGTCAGCGGCAGCGGCTTGGTTGGTAGGTCCGACCATGGCAAACAACATAATGTAGTAATCAAGAGGGGTCCCCAGGTGCAGAAGGACCGGCTATGGCCGGTAGTGATTGTGTTGCAGGAAGCGCCCATCATGAGTGAGAGAGACCTCAATTATGTAAGGATCTTAAGTGTTCGAGAGCCAAGACACGACAGCGCACGCACGCCATGATCGAGGAGGCCCCGACCAAGAACAGTAAATAGCATAGCCATGCAGGAAAGTTGGACAGTTCTCAACCGCTGCCCAACGGAAAATCCATGATCAGAATGAGGGGAGGTGCTACCAAAGGGGGGTGCTACCAAAGGGATTCCTGTCATGAATCATTGGAGGCCATAATGAAATAAGGGTTCTGTTTGACGGAGTGCCAAGACCCGCTAGAAGGCCTTACCATAACAGAGAGCGTACATCCGTCCCGTGCTACAAAGATGCTGGATGGTTGAGGTCTGTGTCACAGTATGAAGCCTCTGTCATTGTGAACGTATCCTTAATACGAGGATGCAAGAGTGAAAGCAGGCAGCTGCCCAGATCGAAAGGAGGTCCCAGTGACGCAGGGCTCAATAATTCAGACGCAGCGGGTGGTGTTATGGAACTGTATGAACGCTGGTATTTAACTGAGTCGTCGGATCTGGCACGTGCTTGACTACGCACCCAAGTTTCTTTAAAAAAGGTGCTGACTCACCTGCGCTTTAAGGAAGGGACACGTGACCTTGCATATTGACATAACTTGAATGAAAACATAACTAACTTTGCCGTCGTCAGTGTTCCCGGGGTTCACATACATGCGTGATTAAATGCTGCGTCGCAAAGCAGTTTCGGGCATCTTTAAGACCCTGATGTAATGAAAGGTCCTTTTATCCTAGGGACGCCCTTGCACGGTAGAGACCCACCATTCATGATGGCCTGGACACTCTTTAATAAATTCTTGTTACCGCCCTTGCAAGTTTCCCCAAAAATACGCGTTCGGTTGAAATTACTTGAAACAAGTATGACGAAACTCATATGTCTTAGAAAAAAATGGAATGTTTTAAGGTATTTCACGCACTTGGGCTGGTGGAAACAGCCAATATTTTGCTGATATTGGTCAAAAGAATATAGTCAGCTACGCTCTGACATGCTTTAATGGTTCACACGATCTGGGAACTCTGTGGAGATCAGACCTCTGGTTTTCCCCGATGACGTCATCCAAATCACCTTCGACTTCCCTTGCGACCGGTCTGAAAAGCCCATACGATTTTACTCGGAGGGATGGGATGTTGCAAACGCCACACGGCTCCTACCCGCTACATTGAAGAACCAAAAAGTCAGTGCACGCCTTTATGATGGAATAAATTAGAATAGTTTGACGTCACAAATCAGCCGCATCCATCCTGCTATTGCGATTTAACATTTCTAGTTCACAGCTTTGATTTACCGGTGCGACAAGCAAGGTCATGGCTACACGAAAGAGCCTCACAGATGCCATTTACCACGACAAAGAGCACAGAGCATATTTTTCGTGCACAGCCAAAGACCTTGTCCACAACAGGACTGGGTGTGCCCGGCGGAGTGCGAGGCGGGAGCCCGCGTGCCCACGTCACCTCCTCACGACCGGGCGGGGCCCTGCACGCGGCCCGTGTGGGCCGCCGTATGGGAGAGAGAGAGAGAGAGAGAGCGAGAGCGAGAGAGTTACGCCACTGACACCAGGATCAATGAAGCGTCCTGACCTAGAGCTCGGAAATCGATGTATTTTAAATCTGCGCCTATCGATTGTGGCATCGATCCGGGCGCGACACCTGCAGCCTGCTCTCGCGCGGTCGACGCGGCTCTTCACAGCCACACCGGTAACCGCTATCGATTCCCTTTCATCCACTCCCGACCGATATCTCGCAATCGATGCCGGGTGGGTGGCCGCCCGCTAGCCGGGCGCCGGCCGTGCCGCTCGAGCGGCCGGCGCCCGGCGTCCTGGGCGCCGTGTGCGTCGCTCGGGCCGCGCGTCTCACCGCCCCCGGCCCGCCGACCCGCACGCTCCGGACAAAAGAGGACGGCCGCCGCTCGCGACGGCACGGCCGCGCGCTCCCACTCAAAATAGTCCGGCGACGACGGCGTCCGACGAGCGCAGACCCTGCCGCGACGCGCCCAGTTGGCGGTGAGTGTTCTGTGCGCGTGCACCGCGTACTATTGTGCGTTGTCTACGAATAATATCGATTCGCGTCGTATTGATTTTCAATGCGATGATTTACCCTCCACCGGCAGTCGATGGCGCGCAGAGCGCCTGCGCCGCCGCCGTACCCAAACATGGCCGGCCGACAGTGACGTGATTCAGTGTTGCGCGGCCATTTTTCGCCAGTGACAGTGGTATTTTCCAGCGTGCGGCGACGAAAGTGACACGAGCGAGTAGCTGAGCGACCGAGCAAGGCGCCTGGACAGCGTGCGACGGCCGCGGCGCGCCGGGCGGACGGTGAGGAGCGGTTTTTCTGGCGGGACTCGGCGCGGCCGGCCGTGCGCCAATGGCAGCGCCGGCTGACGTACCGGCGGCCACCACGCAGGTGCTGCTGATCCGCGCGGCGGCCGGGCCCACATACAGCCGGGTGGTGGCGCCCGGGCACCAGCCGGTGCGGCTCCTGCTCCGCGACGACGCGCAGCTGCTGCGGCACGAGCTGCGCGCGGAGGACGACTTGCTGCCCTCCGACCTGAGCACGCACGACGTGCGCCTGGACAGTGACGAGCCGGCAGACTTTAGTGTGAAGACGCTGCGCTCCGAGGGCCTCAGCGTGCACGCGCTGGGCTCGAGCGAACTCGCGTCGCACGCGGACTTGGCGCACGGCGAACTGGGCGCCGGCGAGCTGAGCTCCAGTGAGTTCAAAGCGGACATTCCGTCGTCACCGTACAAGGAGCCGCTCAGTGTGCAGGTGATCGCCGAGCAGACGGAGGCGCACGACTACAGCCAGCTGAGTCCGGCGCCGCTCTCGCCACGCGACGACATCCCCACCAGTGTGCACAGCATGATCGACGCCTCCGACTTCCGCTCGCTGCCTCAGGAGCCCATGTACCAGAACCTGAGCAGCCTGGGCGGGCGGATGTCGCCGTCGCCCTACAGCCCCTCCTCCTCCTACGCCACCCTGACCCCGCTGCAGCCGCTGCCGCCCATCTCCACCGTCTCAGACCGTTTCGCCTATGGCCAGTCGGGTAACGTATCGGGGTCCTTCACGGTCATGCACAACAACCAGGGGCTGAGCAGCATGAACCTCAACTCTCCATACCACTACGACAAGCTCAGCCACATGAGCATGTCCCCCACGCACTACTCGTCCAACAACGGGCTGATGATGCACCAGCAGCCGTCGCCGCTCTCACCGCAGAACTACAGCCACAACGGCATGCACTCGCCGCAAAAGTCCATCTCCCCGGAGAACTACAACAGCCCTTACACGCGCGAGGATCTGTCGCGCGCCACCCTGGCGCAGCCCCAGAGCCCGGCACTGAGCCCCTCGGTGTCGCTGCACTCGCCCCCCAGCTCCACCTTCAACGGCTACATTGCCACCACCACGCTGACCACCTCGGCGCTGACGCCCAGCTTCAACAGCATAAACGCGGGTAGCTTGGGACCGCTTTCTCCGCACGCCGTCTCACCCAACTCGCCCTCGCTGCACCTGCAGTCGCCGCCCTCGCCGGCGCCGCAGCTGCGTGACCCCATGCATGCTATGTCGGCACCTTCGCTGCAAGGCGGAGGCCACATCCAGCACACGGGCCAGAGCCTGACCACCGGCCACCAGGTCCAGTGCAAATCCAGCTCCTCTTCCACCGCCTCTGACTCCGAAGAGCTCAACACCAAGGAGCTGGCGCAGCGCATCTCGGCCGAGCTGAAGCGGTACAGCATCCCGCAGGCCATCTTCGCGCAGCGCGTGCTCTGCCGCTCGCAAGGCACGCTCTCCGACCTGCTGCGCAACCCCAAGCCCTGGTCCAAGCTGAAGTCGGGCCGTGAAACGTTCCGGCGCATGTGGAAGTGGCTGCAGGAGCCCGAGTTCCAGCGCATGTCGTCCTTGCGGCTGGCAGGTCAGTCCCTGACGCCATCGCACCACCCCGAGATCACCTCCGGTAAATGACAGTTTCTTTATTTCTTTTGCTGTGGGGATGGTTGCTATGGGCGTGGGGCCGCTTGCAGGGCGAGTTTCGCGCAGCTGCTTCGTGTTTGCCCTCAGCCCAGGCCTGTTTTAAGCGGGTGACTTGCAGCAAGAGTGCGTGGCGTGCATGAGTGGGTGGATGGGTATATATACATATATATATATATATATATATATATATATATATATATATATATATATATATGTGTGTGTGTGTGTGTGTGTGTGTGTGTGTGTGTGTGTGTGTGTGTGTGTGTGTGTGTGTGTGTGTGTGTGTGTGTGTGTGTGTGTGTGTGTGTGTGTGTGTGTGTGTGTGTGTGTGTGTGTGTGTGTGTGTGTGTGTGTGTGTGTGTGTGTGTGTGTGTGTGTGTGTGTGTGTGTGTGTGTGTGTGTGTGTGTGTGTGTGTGTGTGTGTGTGTGTGTGTGTGTGTGTGTGTGTGTGTGTGTGTGTGTGTGTGTGTGTGTGTGTGTGTGTGTGTGTGTGTGTGTGTGTGTGTGTGTGTGTGTGTGTGTGTGTGTGTGTGTGTGTGTGTGTGTGTGTGTGTGTGTGTGTGTGTGTGTGTGTGTGTGTGTGCGAGGGGCTTTGTATGGGTATGTGCGGGGAGGTGGTGCAATGTATTTTATTTTTGTCGCACCTGCAGTGGTATGTTATGCAGCAGTATGTTATATGTGATGAGCGTAATGAGCTCTTTGTCTGCATCTTATGATTTTGCACATGTGTGGTGATTTACATACATTTTTCTCAATTTATGGGTGGAAATCACCTACATAACCTACAAGCCCACTCAACTGAATTAGTGTAGTAATGAAGATTCCTGTTTAAAAAAATTGTAGCCCCCCGGCCAGTCTGCGAATTGTGCCAAACTTTATCACCAATCACGTACATTTGTGGGTTTAAAAAATGCTCAGGCTTAGGCATATTTCTGTAAAGCAGGAATATCTATCCGGAAATTTTTCTGATATTTTTACATTTTGTTACTCTGAAAATGACACAGCTTGTTTCACAAAGTCTGGAAATGGCGTCTACATCGCCCCCAAAAGCGTCACGTGTCACTCGGTATTATAGAGCCAGAAGAACATGGCGGCTAGTCACGTCACTGTTGGGGCCCCCTCTGCGGGTCCGTCACAAACTCTTTCCTTGAACATAGACCAGACTGCTCTCCCCACGGCGCTACCCGAAGTCCAGGAAGTCCAGGCAAAGTCAACCGGTCTAAAAGCAGAACTCAAGCAGAAGAGCAGAACCGATGATGCAAGCAAAGCGTGTGCTGAACGCGCAGCAGGGACCGGATGGTGTCAGCTCAGTAGCTGAGGTGGAGATGATGAATGTGAAAGTCAGCAACCGTTGGATAGGAAAGAGCTCACAGATTTCGATACCATTGTGGCAGTGATTTACTTGTCTCTCGCTGCATTGTCCCCGCCACTTTCTGAGGGATGTAATTGTTTCGACGAAGTTTAGCCGTCGCCCAAAAAGAAGACGACTGATAGCAAGAAAAGCCGCCTACTTTCTACATGCAGAGCCCTGGGTTTTAGACAGATAGCCTATTTCTTATCAGAGGAGCTACTCATAGACTTACGGAATGGTTGTAAGATACATGTAGGCCCTTTTCACGAGATATCTTGAGTTCATGCGGCTCATGTCTACCATTATTTACCAGCCTTAAACACGTTGGATTCCAGCCATCTGGTCTATTTTAGATTCTAATTTCCTTCAGACCAGATGTTGAACAGCTGCACTGTCCCTGTCCATCTCAGTCCATGTCAAGGAACGTGTTCGACTGTTGACCTGCAAAAATGTTTGCTGTGCTTGCAAGTGAGCAAGCTCCCAGCCGACTTGGGTCCGTTTTCTATAAAACAAATGCCACTGATTCCGCTCTGTACTACTGAACGATTCGTTCTCCCGTATGTAACGTTTTACGATGCATTCATTTACCGTATTTCTTAACAAATTTGTGCGCTCGAAGAATGTCGACAATTGGCAGATAAGTCGACCGATGCAGTCACGTTGTGCAGTGTGATGCGGTGAATTTGCCGCATCTAATAACTTGTATATCCGCTCATCCCTGAGCACCAGCGTAGCCTTTGTGCCTGTGGAATGTGCATCACCACCAGAATGGTGTGCCAGACTGTTGACAATCAGTTTTGGAGCAAACCTTGCCTGAAGAACATCGTCTCCGGGGTTCCCTGTTTGGATCATTTCATAAGGGACTGGCGATCTGGGGCGTTGAAGGAGTGAGTGGCTCAGAGAATTTTTGGCTATGTTTCCCTACACATGGGTGATCATGTCAGCTTCATATAAATGTTGTCATGTAACATTCGAAGGCGGGAGGCCATCTGGACCCCGATTACTGCGCTCACGGCCGTTTCACCGTCTACACAAGCCACTGGTGCCGAGCCCGCCTGCCCACCCCTCCCGCCGCCCGGGGCCACTCCGTAGGCGCTGGTACTCCCGTGGCGGGCGCCGCCGGTGCCATCTGGCCTCTGCCCGACATTCCCGACGCGCGAGCCACGACGAACGGCGCAGGGGCGCCGGCCGCCCGCTTTACGAGCTACCGGCGCCGGGTGGGACGGGGAGGGGGGGGGGGGGGGGGCAGGTGGGCCGGCCGCCGCCGCACCTGTGTGCCGGCCAGATAGCTGAGGCGCCGCCAGGTGGCTGGCGTTCGGGCCGACACAGCGACGCCCCAGGGCACGGCGCCGGCCTGGCATAAACAAATACCGCCCAGCGGCCGTCGCCGGCGCGCCCGGACTCCTCGCGACGCGACGAGACGGGCGCCCCGACGGCCGGCGGCGGGCCCGGGCCTGCCGAGGAGGGGGGGAGGGGGGGGGGAAGACTCGACCGTGATGTGACGTGTTTGGCACGCGGAGTCTGAGAGCGAAGGCCGGGTCTGCAGTGCGAGCCGTTCGCGAAGTGATGGTAGGTTGTGTCATATTGCGCTGTTACTCGGTGCATGTGCGTTAAAGAAGACACCGATTCTCTTATTGGGGAAAATGTAAAATAAAAGCGCCAGGGAAAGGAAACAGGCTAGACATGGAAAGTGAAACGCTACTTCTGTTCTTGATGTGCCCGCATTCATCCGATTAGACCTCAAACTTCAAGGTTTATAGGAAATGTTTCACATTTGCATGATATTTTGAATCAAAATAGTCATGCTGAAGATTATTTGATGCAGTTCACAGCCCTCCTATTCTAAAACATTCACATAGGGGTTTGAACTGGAATAGCCATGTTGAAAATAATTCGGTGCAGTTCACAGCCCTGCCATTCTTAAGACCTAAACCTCTCCACCTTCTGAGCTACACGCCCGCGAAGATGTGCATACTATTTCAAGGTCACCCAGGCATCCATGACGCCATGATAATTTCATTGAAATTCTGCCATTCCATTGGCCTTGCGGCCACCAAGGAAAAGAAAGGTAAACTTGTCGATTCGTTCATATCTGGCGTACGTGAGCACAATTTCCAGACATAATGGCCGTCAATTGGTTCTCAATCACTATTGTGCAAGGTACGACGACGCAACCAAAGAATGACGTATTGATGAGCTTGTTTACTCAATAGATATACGGTGTTGTCTAGAACAGTCTTTTCCACTTAAAAATATACCAGTAGTTACAAGTGAGCTTATTTCATCATATCTGAGCTTGCTCCAACGTCTTCGAATGTAGAACATTCCTTTAAAATCAATGCCTTTTCGAGGTGAGGCTAGAATTAAGTGCAGTAGGAAGGCTGCGGTCGTCTGAGGACACCGTTATCATCCGGAATTGCAGCCGCGTTGTTTTCCGGTTGACGATGCGTTTGAAAACGCGTGCCGGTGCAAAATTAATCGCCACTGTCTGGCACGGGATGGAATATTAATACTGCGTAATTGGGTTGCTCTACCGTAACAGGTCCGCGATTTTCGCCATTTACTTCAAAACATTGCGTGCTTTTTATTTCTGAATTTATTCCAGCTGTTCGAAATGGACAGCGCTGGGCCTTAGGCCAAAACCAAACCAAGCTTATTACTCCAATTTTTACCGGACCAGACCAGACGCAAGCATTCTCACAACTGTAATTGATGATACCGACAACCAGTGACGTGGCAAGGAATTTGTCCTGCCGGGGCCGAACGGGTCAAGGGGGACCCTTTCAGTCCTCTTCTGTTTTTGAATTGTGGGAGACCTTGCCGAGTTCGGGGTCCTGTTTCGATGCATGAGATCCTTTTTTGACGATTAAGAGTCCTTAAGAGTGTCTTAAACTGTCAAAAAGTACTGAGGTCTCCGGTCTTAGGGCTCACCGCCAGAGGTGACGGAGGAGGTCTCCTCGGCTGCGTCACAGCCGATGACCAAATGGATAGGCGTCCGCGTCGAATCTCGAACTCACCGTCAAGGCTCGAAACACCGCGTGGTACCGAATACCGTGGTAAATTGTTCTCGCATTACTGTGGACATACAGAAGCCTTCAGTTGAACTTGACCCTTCACGCGATGCTCTGCACTAATCTGACCCATGTGGTCTCCTCGGCTCATCTGTATCTCAACCATGTGCCCACCAGCTCTGAAGGGGTCCAAATGTTCGTTTGCAGGGTAATTCGTCAGCCTCTGGGTAGTTCGCACATGTGCTCATATTGCTGGAATGCGCAGGTGTCGTGGGGCTCAATTACGCGTATATCTCCATTTGGAGTGAGGAGCTTGCATGATTTACGACCAAACTCGCGCAATACCACACTTACGCGCACTTGGATACCTCCAGCCATTCCTGTATCCTGGAGTTCCTCACCACGCCGGGACTTCACTGCGGCCGTCGAATGAAGACTACTGCCTCGTTGGTGCCTGCGCGGCCGGCCACTCCCGCCTACCAAACAGCGGGCTTGTTGCGGAACAGGCCGCGATGCTCGGGTTAAGGCGGGTGCTGCGGCGGTGACGCGCTTCCCAGACCACCCGCCGAGATTCGGCAC